CCTCCGATATAAATTAAATTCGACTGGAAAGTTGATTCAGGATTTTTTTTTTCTTTTTTTCTTTAAATATGACGTGGGAATACCTTATTTTGTACGTAAGCTTTTAATTTACATTACATTGATTCGAAAGTCGATTCAGGACTGTAATCAAATTGGTATACAGAAAAAAAAACACACACAGCGATATTTTTTCTTCTTTTTTATAAACATAACTCAAATGTACATTTTTTTTTTTATTTCCTCCTTAAATACTGCATATATTACAAGCGCGTGTTGACAATGTCGCGAGTGTTTGTGAGTCAGATCCGTGTACAGTCGAAGAAATATACAATTCACGCGAGTTAGTTCCGCTTAATTCTAAATAGTATCGCATTTTACACGTGTCCTTATATTTTGGCACGAACTTTTCCATCTTACATTATAGCACCATTCGTCGACTTCGTTACACGATTCTCATTTCCTTACTATGTATGTATAATACAATATATTCATTTGTGCTTCGAGTTTTCCTTTCCCGAGCGTTTCCAACGAGAAAACACAGTCAGTTCTTAAAACTGTCTGTTCATAATTTTTCTATTTCTCGTTAAATGCATGAATTCACCGATTTCGAAATAGTATTAACGCGTTTGAATGATTTTTAGATTTTTAAATTACGTGAGTAAATGAATAAAATAACGTTCGAAGCTAACGAATAGCTACGAGCAAGTATTAAAGCTGTACTGTACTTTTGATTGGCGTTTGTAATTATGATAATCGGATACATTCATCTGAAAGATTTCCAATTATATTTTTCGATTGACAAATCGAACATTTCATTCCCCGCGAATGCTTATGCCTAACGTTTCTACTATTAATCTTCAATTTCATCTCGTATCACACTTACTACTCCTATGATATTTCCTCTTGCAACTATACTTTTTTACGAAATAAAAATCTCAATATGGCATGTTCGTTAAATAATATCAAAGTAATACAATCGATGTCTCTCATCGAAATTTCTAAACGAAGTTTCTCTTAAGGTGTCCTCTATACAAAAGGGATAAAAATCTTTACATTCTGTTCTCAGAGACGATCCAAATTTTTCCTTTTTCGAATTTGAATATTTAATCTCAGACAAATAATTCGTTTACGTCCTGGAACCGAGAGTACTCGGATGATAGAGAGTTGTGTCCGCTCCCCATTCGTAAGGACCTTCGTGCGGCCCCAGAGAAACCATGGTACCAGGTCCCAGCGTCGTGTGTGACGTGGCACTGATCATTCCTGGACCGGAAGAGACGTAACTCAATGGTGGTCGAGACTGATCACGCAAACGGGCGTGTTTCACATGTCGTTTGTATCTGGAAGGAATAATTATGCTGATTATAATTTCGTTCTAGGAACTATAATTTCGTTCTCTGCCAAGGAAAGACGACGCGATTGAAGATGATATATAATAATGAAGCCTTCAGAACCTAAAAGAAGCATTCAGAATTAATTTTCTAGTTCTTCATACTCTGCTCTGTAATCTAATCCCTATTTTCTATTAATTTTGTGACTAATTTGAGATTAATGATACCGAATAGATATCAACAAAAATTTTACTTTTTACTGCTATATATTTTCAACTATAAAGTTGGAATTGTTTCTCTATATTTTGCTCCCTGTAATTCCCTTTTTATTGTCTGTGAATTTCATTACTAATTTGTTTTTTATTAACAATGCAGATGTCAACGACAAGTTTCAGTACTATGAAATTCCCCTAAATTACAATAGAATTCTGAATTAAATCTTTGAACTCTACATTTTTTTCTCAATTCTTGGCAGATCTATGGAACATATACTAATTTCAAACTCTTCGGTCGATAGTGTATATTATAATACTTCCATTTAAAAGTGTCAAATCCAAGAAAATTACAGACGCTTACTTGGCGTGCATGCAGCAAAGCGCGCAGCTGGAGATCACCGCAGCAACGCCGACAAGAACCGCGATGGCGAGCACCCACATCTGCGTCATCGAGGCATCGGCTCTGGCTACCACAGCAGCGCAATTCTGCACCTTTTCCACGTGATACGTCCTGTACACCTTCTTCAACTCCTCGTTCTTCGGATCAGTCAGAAGGGCTTTCATCTCGTCCAAATCGTATGTTTCCTTCCCGACCATTTGAAAGCAGGAGCTGGTCGACGAGAAGTCCAGAGAATTGTCCTCCTTCGAATAAAACTGCGTATCGTACACATTGACACTTATAGGCAATGACAGGGCTTGTTGCACAGATCTTTCAAATTCCTCCAGTGTCTTCCTGACTTCTACCGGTGGCTTTGAAAACACGAACTTCAACATGTCTCTGTCGCGCAGTAAAAATATCCTCAGAGTGATATTCGTCTCTCTGCCTAGGATAACCGAGTTATTGGCTGTGACGATGATCTCCATGTAACCATCCGCGTAGCTAGACATAGAACCGGTCGTTCTGAGTTCGCCGGTTTGAGGATTCAGAGACAAATGCGAAGGAATGTGTCGTTTGGACATGGACGTGTCGACGAGAGAAGTGAAAGAAGCCTTGCCCATGCTGTAATTAATCGGAAGGGCGTCAGAGTCGGCATCAGAGGCTTCCAACGTGATCAGACTCGTGTCTATCGGAACATTCAGACGCACGCCTAACGTGACGTTCTCTCTCTTAAACTTTGGCCTGTTGTCGTCGATATCGAGAACTTTGACGAGGACTTGTCTCTCGGAAGGATCCTGTCGATTGTAAGGCTTCGGAACAACGTCGCTCTTTTTTGTAGAAAAGGGGAAACACTTAACAGTAAGCAAATGCCGATCAGCTGCCTCTCTGTCCAAACGACCGTTCGATCTGATGATTGCCGAATTGTTCTCTAGCCTCTCTACGATAAACAGACTAGCCTCGTTTCCGTAGACGATCGAATAATCGATCATTCCATTCTCCTCGATGTCTTCGTCAATCGCCTCGATCGCGCCAACCTTCGCTCCAATTGGCTCCTCCTCGAATATCGTCAGTTCTATAGGTGGACTGTCGAGATTCCGTTTGAAATGAGGCTTGTGATCGTCGATGTCGCTCACGATCACTTGGAGAACCCTGGTTGCCTGCTGTGGAGGACTTCCCAAGTCTTGTGCCACTAATATCAACGTGTAACTGTCCTTCGTCTCACGATCCAATAATTTTCTAGTGGTAATCAAGCCAGTCTCGCTGTTGATCCTGAAGGCACTCGCGTCTTTCCCGAAGTTTCCATCCTCGAGGAATTTGAATGTGATCTTCCCGTTTGGTAAATTTGGATCGTCGGGATCTGAAGCCACGACTTGGAACACCGGGCTGCCAATCGTTGAGTTCTCGGCTACGTGGGCTACTTCCTCGAGAGTGGGTCTGATGAAAAGAGGAACGCCATCGTTGCTCACTACATCGCCGATGTATAAAGTCAGAATCACGTCGGAGTAGAGCTCCGGCTCGCCACCATCCTGAGCTCTGATTCGCATTATGTACGGCTCCGTTCGTCCTTTGCCCGTCAATTCTCGAGCTGAGTAAATTTCTCCGGTCGCGTGATTTATTTCGAACAGCCCTAGAATTTCCACCATTCGATTTTGGAATCATTGCACGTTTCATTTTACTTCAAAATTAAAGGAAATTAATCGTTTTACGGTGTACACGAGAATAGAATAAATAGAATTTCCAGTTCTATAAATTCTAATTTTAAACATAGCGTTGAACATTCTGAAAGGCACGATGCTTCGAAAAGAGGAAATATGTTGCTTACCACTTGCTTCACCCTCGTCGATGATTTCATAGTTAATTATTCCTCCGTTTCCTTCATCCGGGTCTGTGGCAGTGATGTTCACTACATTGACACCTGATGGAGCGTTCTCAGGTATCACGGCTGTATAAGATTCTTGCTCAAATGTCGGGGTGTTGTCATTGACGTCTAAAACGTCTACAGTGACCAAAGCTCTGGTGCTTCTCTGTTCTGCTCCACCTTGAGGGATGTCCGATGCAACGACGTAGAAACGAAGAACCGACTGTTTTTCTCTATCAAGCGTCGTATTGGTTGCAATCTATACAAATAAATTTAATATGCACATTAATTAATAAATTTAACATACACATTAACTTCTATAAAACAGTATAAAAATAAATTCATTTACCTGAATGTTTCCAGTTATTGGCTCCACCTCGAACATGTTAGCGTTCTCTCCAACTAAAGAGTATCTCACCTCACCATATCCTCTCTTAACTTCCTGTTCCGTACTGGAACTATCCACATCCGTGGCTCTGACGTTTAATACAACCCTCGAAGGCTTTGCTGACTCTAGTACAGAAATTTTGTAATCCTTTTGCGCAAAGATAGGACTGTTGTCGTTCGTATCTTGCACTTCGACCATTACGTTTGCCTCGGACATCTTTCTCGTTATCTCGTAATCCCGTGCTAATGCACGCACTTTGAACCGAATGAACTGAAAATTAGTAACCATTCTATAGATTTAGAATTTATCTTTAAAGTTTAAGAATTTAGTTTTAAAATTCTGGTTGTCAAGAATATAATTTATGCAGCTGGAATGAATATTAAAAATGAGCCTTAAAATTAGAATTTGAAAATCAGAACTGAAATATTTATAAAAACTTATCTGCAGAAATTACAGTTTACAAAGTTGAAGTGAATACCACAAGTTAACTTTGAAATAAAAATTTACCTTCTGATTCAGAGCTTCATAATCCAGCCTCTTACTCAGAACAACGTTTCCACTTTGAACACCGACGTTCACGTAACCTTCGTCATCATCTTCCCTCACCAATTCAAATCTCTGAACAGCATAGCCAGTGGTAGGTTCTTTGGCTGACAACATTAACAAAGTAGTACCGAGAGGTTGTTCCTCTGGCACAGAGATCTTGATTGTAGGATTATTAGGCGACCATCCTGGATTCGTAAACGTTGGATTGTCGTCGCTGTATGCTTGGATGTAAATCGTCACCTCGACCTGCGTAATCTGCTTCTCTTTATCAGCGATAGCATTCAAATCTTGCACTTGAACGGTCAAGATTACTACCGCAGCCACTTGATAGTCTAATACACGATTTACCGTAATCAAACCACTCATCGAATTTATTCGGAACGCCGTTTTGTAATCGTAGGAAGTTGTGCTCTTAAGAGCCACGCCGGTTTTGTCGACAGCTCTGATAGGTTCTACTAAAGAGTATTCCAAATAAGCGTCCGAGTCTGGATCTGTTGCTACTACTTTCAGTACTGGTTCACCTGTTTTGTAATTGTTGATTATTGGCATAGTAATATAATAGCGTAATTTACACTTGATAATCTTATCGCTACTTAACTTAATTCTTAGTTAACTTTCATGTGCATGATGAAAGATCCAGCTTTCTTTACTTTATATAAGCGACATGTGAAAAAACTTTTTCTAATATTAAACATAAAGAGATACATAGAGAGTATGTAATTATTACAATGTTAATAGAAATCTTTGAAATATAAAGTGAAAATTTAATCTAACTGGGCACTTTTGCGCATTATAAAATGAATGGAAGAATGAAATTGTATAATTCAGGAAGTGATCAGTGACACGGTTTTTAAGTTCAATATAATAAAATATTTTCTATATTTTTGATTAATAAGCCTACCGATAGCTGCCCTTTCTGACACGTAAACCAGATACGTCGACTCGTTGAACGTCGGTGGTTTATTGTTCACGTCTACCATGTTCACTGTAACAGTTGTCGTAGCGGTTTCTCTAACGGGTGTGCCAGAATCTATAGCGTAAACAATTACTTCATATTTCTCTCCTCCGGTTTCCAAATCCAATCGAGCATCCGGCGAAACCGTGATGACACCAGAACTAAACAATTCAAATCAGATTTTTACATTATATCAACGTTACTCCGGACTGTTCGAAATATTTACTCAGAGGAATATTTATGGCAATGACTGTTTATTTATCTTTGGTGAATTACGATGACTCTTAACGTAGGAATTGTTATGCATTTATCTTTGAATTACAGTAATATAAATTACAGCATGAATCTGACCTGGGATCTATGACAAAATTATCCTTAGCACCGGATGCGATGTGGTACTGCAACAAGCTGTCTCTTCCGTCAGGGTCGTTTGCCACGACTCTAATGACTTCCGTTCCAGGTGATGCGTTCTCTAGCAATCTCGCCCGATAAGTACTAGGCCCTGGTAAATTAGATTTATAATTTCCACGGAAGACAGGCTTCTGGTTACCAGGTACTCCGACTCTGACCGATAGTTTCGCTTCAGAAGATAATGGCGGCGTCCCAGCGTCCGTAGCATGAATCACTAGTTCGTAAATACCTCTTTCTGTGTCGTCTGAACGCACTGGTTTCGTCATTGTCACTTCCCCGGTATCTGGATTTATCTGTAAAGAAAATATTCGTCACTAGCATTATAATCTTCTTATTAGTATTTAATTCATACAGTTGCATCTTTTTTACGTAAAAAGTGCAACTGATAATCTTTATAATATGAAAAATACAATTTAAAATATGCAACTATAAAATCACGTGATGTAAATAGTTTAAACTAATTTCGGATAGTAAGATATTTCAAATATTATGTGACACCTACTACTTTTAATTTTTCTATTTAATTTAGTATTTTTTTGACAATATTCTACAATAACTTGCAAATAAAACTGGTACAGATTTGCCATTTTTAGTCACTATATATTTTTTTTAATGCTTTAAATCTGTGGATTATTAATTGATATACCTTGAAAACATCGTTCGTCATGCTGTTATGCGAAATAATAGAGTATGTCACGTTTCCATTTCCTTGTGCTGGACCATCGACGTCAGTCGCTCTAACAAACATCTGTGGATCGAAACTGGTCGCTCCTTCTCTAATCGTTCTCGTATATTCAGTTTGTTCAAAGATCGGTTTATTGTCATTAACATCGTCCAATTCTATCAGAATGTTCACAGCAGACACTCTTCCGCCTCCGTCTTTAGCCTCCATCGTCAATGAATACGATTTTTGTACTTCGTAGTCCAATGGCTTCGCTACTGAAATTCCGCCTATCTTTGGATTGGTTTTGAATTTGTCAGCACCAAAGCCACGCAGAGTGTAAGTCAATTCCCCGAAAGAATCACTGTCGTAGTCTCTGGCAAACACATTGCCAAATCGTGTGCCTATCTCGGCGTCTTCTAGCACGGATAATTTGTAGATTGATTGAGAGAACTCGGGACTATGATCGTTGGCGTCCATTAATTCAACGTGAACTCTGCTTGTGGCTACCTAGAATTTATTACAAGTAAATTTTACACATCGACGTGTTTAGTAGGAAATAAATCCAAAAAATTGGAGATATATTTAGTCTTAAGTATGGTAAAGATTTTTATTAAAAAGATTTCTAAATAGACTGTAGATATTTATGCGGCTAAAAATAAAACCTAGATAGAAATTTGTTTCATTTATAAAATATTATACTTTATAAATCTTCGCATTTTCATACTGGTTAAACAATTAAATTCTACAATTTTTCTTCACTTATTGAAAAAAAAACTGTATTTCAAACGTTCTACAAAATTTTGCATCTTCGAATTTCCCATTGCATAAAAATCCACAGTCCGTTTGCAAATAATCGACAAATAAATCCGTACCACTTCGCTTGCAACGAGCGCAACAACGTCGAACTCAAGTTGCCTCTTAGAAGGATCGTCCACGTCGTAATCCAGCACATCGACGTCTTTCGCTTTGACCACAACCGGCACACGACCTTGAGCTTCCTCAGGACTCACAACGAAAGCTTTACTAACTCCAGGATAATCCGGAGCATCCCTAAGGGCCAATGTGTACTTCGCGTTCTCCCCAACGTCTCCGTCGCTCACTATCATGTTCAATCCCGGCAAAGGTGTATCTTTACCTATGTCCTCCGAGATTTTGATGTTAAAATACTTGTCGTTGAACACAGGCATCAGATCGTCGACATCTGTGACGACGATCGTGACGATCGAGGTTGCCGTGTCAGCTGGAATCTCGTTGTTGATTAATTCCGTGGCTTTCACTTGAAACGTATAAATGCCACCATTTTGCAGGATTCTGGGATCCTCTCGGTCGAGGGAAACGTTGCTTGTAACCAGCTTGCCCACCGTCACGTCACCCTCTCTCGACACGTCGAGATCAAAGTGGCCCGATTCCTCGTCCTCGAGAGTTAACAGGAGAGCTCTCGGTTCACCCGTGTCACCGTCGCGCGCTCTGATTGTCAGGATCGTGTGACTAGCTGGCGTGTTCTCCGGAAGTGCCGCGCTGTACGGCGCGTTCAGGAACACGGGTGGCTGATCCTGAAAGCGATTTGCACAATTTAGTTTCAATTCGTGCGATCCAATATGCAACGTGTGGTTGGAAAGCTTGTTGGAATATTCTGTTTAATTAATCTACTTTGACTCCATTTTTCGAGTACAGAGAGTCAGCTGATGTAGAAATTATGTACTCACGAATTAAGTCGGTTAATTTTATTGGTATAAGAAACAGTACTTTTACAATTAAAAACATTTTCACGTTAAAATTTCGCCATTAATATCGAATAAAAATTAAAAGATCCTGCTTTCAACTTCTCACTATATATTTCAATAGGTAACATTGTCCTGAACTTTTACCGTGCTACCATTTCAATCATTAACGAAAGTGCGCCTCATATGTAATTCATTTTTAAAATTTCATCGTGGAACATTATATGCATTTTCTTGCACTGAGTATCTACCGTCAAATAAACAATTAAGTGTAGGTACGATCAGTTTTTTATTCGTCCAGCGTAATTCTCGCGATTTTGAGGAATCAGTTAAAGCAATCAGCGACCATTACCTAACGTAGGATTTCGTGAACGATTAAAACGAAAACGTTTACCGTTCCGGTGAAAGTTGTTTCGCGAATAATGCGTACACAACAAATAACCGAGCATTTCGCGAATAGAGTCACTAGGTAACGGCCCGCGCTTTCCCAGGTTAGATTATCGCAAATGATCTTGCTAACCAATACGGAATGATCGCGTTGAATGTACAGTTACATCCGTGGAGTTACGATCGAGACCCACTTACCTGAACGTCGAGAACGTCCACGGCTACTGTTGCCCTGGCTTGTAACCTCTTCGAGACGTCACTGGCACCGTCCACAGCCAGCAGGTTGATCAAGTACGAATTCCTCCTCTCGTAATCGAGCGACTTCGACAGAGTGATCTGCACGTCGTACTTGCCCTCTGCCAACTGAAGAGAATGTACAAATTTTTTACTTGTAGACTTGATAACATTATCATTGAACAACCTTGGAAAAGATGATCGAACATAGAAAGTAAACAATTTATTTCTCTTACCAATTTGAGAATTTTATCATTTGGAATCAATAAAGAAGTCTAAGTAATAAAAAAAATAAATAAATAACAGATTGTTAAGAAGTGTATGGCTGAGAATTTCGAAATGCCGCAGAGAGAATTTTTTTTTTTTTTTTTGTTATAAAGGAATATTATTAATATTTCTACCTTTTCTGTAGAAACGACGAAGACCTCGCACACGTCATCGTCTCGCGACGTGGAGACGCATTCCACGTGAACATCAGCGTTTACACCGCCATCGCGATCCGTGATCGTGATGGTGCCAGGAGGAACTAGCAGACCACCCACGTGTGCACTTTCTGGCACCCTGGCTGCATAAGGTCTGCCGTGATACACCGGTGGATTATCGTTTTCATCTAGCACCGCTATCTCACGCCGAAGGGACACGGTGTTTGGCTCTGATCCCGCGATCCCTTCATCTAACAGAACACATTTATTTTAATATTTCTTCTGTTGCTAGATAAGCAGTTTTGTCCTCTTAAGTAGGAGTGATGAAAAATTTTTCATTTCAGAAAACTGTAAGTAAAGTGGCGAATTTAAAAACTGATCAATATATAACGTTGCTCGTGAAAGTGTTCGAACTAAATTTCTGATAAAAATCGTTGACATTTAAAGTGTTATAATTTCGTAAAAAGAAATCAACCAGAGCTCACGTGAAGCTTGTTCTTTCAAAATATACCATTTTATTCTAAGATGTTTTATGCTATGTAACGAATGAAGACACTTTTCTTTTTGAAAACGTAATAAATTATCATAATATGTAAAAATATTGAAAAATTTTTTTCCTCTTTGTAACAATTCTTCAAAGCTATTGCCATTTTTCTTGCCATTTTATTGAACTTTAAACATCGACATAATTTTTCGAACATTTAATGTTCAAAACATTTCCATG